CCCGGCCTCCTCTTCACCCTGCTCCGCCCGAAGCCGCCGCCAAGAGCAACGCCGGCTTTCCCAGCCGGCCGGCGGTGGCTCCTCTCGAGAAGTCAAGAGGTTTACGCGGTAGCTGCGGCTTCTCGCTTCCGCCCACCGCCTCAAGGCTCCGCCCAATCTCCGTCCCAGCCAATCACAACCTTTTATGCGTGCCGACTCCGCCCACTCCTCCCCGCCCTCCGGACCTTCCGATCAGATGTCCAGACAGAAGGAATCGAAGACAGAGAGTCTCGTCCTAGGCCCCCCTCGGAGTATTTAAGGCGGCCTCAGCCTTCCCGAAGGAAGCGGGGGATGTCAGTGCACGTGAGTATCACGCGTGCGGGTCACTGGGTGGCGCGCGGGGCACCAGACGTCAGCCCAACTGCCGTTACCGTAAGTGTTCAACACTGTGAGCACCCACAATATGGGACCTTTCTCCGTGGTCTCTTTGACCTGCATTCTCCTGAGTATCCAAAAGCATAGAGGTGAATGCTTTCAGGATGCTTTCAGGACTCCGCTGAATCAACATCGTGACTTCGAACAAATGGCTTATTTTTCTAGGTCTCCGACCTCTGGTGGGAAAAGGCGGGTTAATTAAAGGCAGCATTCCCTCCATGGTTTTCGTTTGTTTGTTGTTCTTTTGAGTATGAGGTAAAATAGTTTATGTAAAGCAGTCGGCACAGAGCCCGGCCCAAGTGATGTTGACTGTACAGTGTTGTTTTGTTTTTTAATTCGGGTTTTGTGTTGCAGATAAAGTTATCAAGCCCCGACTTTCTCAGCTTGGTATGAACATGACCTGATAAAAAGTGCTGTGCAATTAAAAGTAGAAAACAAGCTAAAACCTGCTCACTGAAAAAGTGGGGCTTTGCAGGGGAGCTTTGAAAGGAATCTGAGGGTGGTGTTATTTGACTTCAAGTCTCCTGATCCTGTTCCTGGAGAATTTGGGCATGTCCACTCATCTTTCTCCAGCTGGTCTTTTCAACCCTGGAAGGTATCACCAAAACCTGACGGTAGGGGCCGCTGCAGCCCCAGGTCGCTCCTTAACTCGGCCCTTGGTTAGTGTCCTCAGCGCCCTCTCGCCGCCTTTGGTGTTCATTACTGCTGTACCTCTCCACTCCCGGGTGTCATTTTTTCCTGAGAGTTTTATCCATGCCATGGGCTATCATGAGTGCAACTCTTAACCTAACCAACTCCACCACACATTTATCTGCAACCACATCTATCTGGGCCAGCCTCCCTCTTTCACAGATCATAATTTTTTCTTTCTCAGCTTTCCAGCCTTCTATCCCTGGGGGCTTGCAATGTCTCCTCAACCAAATCTTTCCCGATAACATTTTTCCTTGGCTCATAAACATGCACATGCATCTTCCTTGAAAAAAAAAAAGTTTTTTCAAACCCCTTGTCTGGTAAAGAAACACCAATTCAACTAACAGTGTGGAGGCCGAAGGAGTCCGATTCCTCTAAAGTTGGAGTTATAGGAGGTAGTGAGCCCCCAAATATGAGTACTAGGATTCAAACTTGGATCCTCTGCAAAAGCAGAATGTGTCCCGAACATCGAGCCATCTCTCCAGCTCCTCAACTAACATTTTCTGAGTCATTAATTGGAGCATTCTTGTGTGGGGTAGGAAAGAATAAAGTTTCCACCATTATGCTGTCTGTCTTCCCCTGAAATTTCCAGTGGGATTCCCCTCTGTGCTGTGAATATCATTGGTTAATAAAGGAACTGCTTTGGGCCTATAGCAGAGCTCTATAGGAGCTCTATATAGAGAGCTAGGCAGGGAAAACTAAGCTGAATGCTGGGAAAGAGAAGGGAAGCCTCCTCCAGAGACAGACACACTGAAAC